TATTCAGATGGATAAAGTTTCTAATAGTTAAACTGCTCGTCCAGTCTTCATATACCATAAGTCTGACCATCATGTAGTGCTTTTTAGACTGAACACTCTTCATTCACTCATATGATTATCGTCAGCAGTTGTAACGCTATGCAGCAAATAACACATTTAAGATATGAGGTACAGGAATATTTACTTTTCGAACGATTCAAGGACAAAAATGTTCGCAAATATCTTTGTTCCTGCGCTGTTCAAATTTGTCGAGGGAACTAAATATTTACTTTTTGTCGGACTGCTTGGTTGTTTTCCTGAAATGTAGAGTTTCCAGAAATAAAGCATACAGGTCTACTTTTTAGGGTAAGACGGTGACGGCAATTTTTTGAATGATAAAACTGATATCCTCAAAAATTTGGTCTGTAGTGAAGTACATAGTGATTCAGATGGGTGAATTTCTCTTGAGTTCCTAAAGGGCTATCAATTCATTCCCGAACACACTTTCACTGAACTGAGAAACTATGATTATCTAGTTAATTCACAGAGTCTGAGTGACCTAGGGACCACAGATTAAAATTTGATAACGTCCCACATAAGACTTCAACTCATCTATATCCCAGGTAGTATTTTTTTGTCTCAGCATCTGACTAAATTGAAATGGACTTGGATTTTATCTTTCGCTTACGTCCCAGTTCAAATAATTTATTTGAAGTGGATCATCATATTATCTGGCAAACAATGACTAATAAAAAACTGCCGGAGTGAAATATTGTTTGGCAATTCCTAGCAATCTCTAACAATTCTGTTGTAGTCCATGGGAAGCTAGCAAGCAACAAGATACTTATAAGATAACGACTTAAACCTTTGTAAATTCGCTAGTTCAGGTTCTAGAAAGTCTGTCCACTTAACTGGTAACTTACCGATATTTGGACTGTAAAGAAAGAACAGAAGACATGGGAAACGAATAATAAAATGCGAAGGCTATGAACAACAAAACTGATTCAACTTGTGATTACTGCTGGTGTCATTTCAGACCTAGTGATACATTTCCCAACTTTCCAGTGTACTCTGGCAATTGAAATGTATACTTTTAACCAAACTTAGCACCTGGTTTCATATCTGAATACAATTATTCTCAAGGTTACCTGTTTGTCATATCTTCCAGAGATCAGTGTTCAAATTTGTTTCACTCTTATGAACAAAATTTTCCAACGATCAAAGCTAAAGTATTTTCGTTTACGTGAACCAAATATGTTAAAAAAAATACAGTCTGGTTTTCTGCTCACTAAAAACGGAAAGAATCAAATAATTTTATGGCATATCAAAAACTATTAGCTAGAGTTTAATCTCTTTTTTACAAAATTACACTAACTAGGTAAGTATAACTAGAAAGTTTGATAGAAAATAATTACAAACACTTATTGCAATTAATAGGTTAACTTTTAGAAGAAATACAGTTGTCATTTACAGAACATTTGTAGTTATTGCACAACAGCTTGAAGCGAAATACGGTAAGGTTTGTGGTAGTACAGCCCATTCATTTGTTTTTAAGTTATATGCTAGGATCAAATTTGATGGCTCTGCATTATTTCTTCCCCGATCAAAAAGACATAATCATTCCACATACGTGTAGCTAGTATAAATGAAACAGATTAATTGTGTGAAAATCTTCAATATATCTTAATACTCTTTAGGATTGCTATTTTAGAAATATGCACAAACAAGACTTACAACATGATATCTATATCAGGTCCTATTATAGGAAGAAATGTGTTGTCTTGGCGTCAGCGTTTTTAGCTTTACAGTTGGATGGCACAGATAAGAGTCTTCGAAGGGACATGAATTTCCCCTAAAATACAGTTACACCTTGATAATGAGTCCGACCAAGTTACAAAGCAGATAAATGATGGTGTCGTTTTACATCGAAAACAAGGTTTTTTCATCAAAAAAACCGACCAAATTCAATATGACTCACATTCGATTCCTTTCTACACATTTTTAAAAAGATTATTTAGTCTCTTAACATTGAATTCATAGTTTAACTACAAGCGACTGATAATAAAAATGTTGAATCAACAGCTCACATACCTCTAGCAGTATGACCATTTAGGAGATGATATTTTATTTAAAATTATAAAGTTCGAAGCTTAATTCTTGTTCACTCTCATTTTAATAGCTGACCGTAGACAAGAAATTTATATTTCAAAAAGGCAGTTAGTTTTGTATTACTCTGGTAAAACCTAACACAAACTAGACACAGCTTCACTATTAGACGGCCAACCGACTGACAGTTTAGTTTGATGGATGCAGAAAGGTCTTGAAGAGTTGAAATTGTATTGACTTGAGCATAATAACCATTAGTAATGCAGTGTGTTATGAATACAAAAACTGTTTAAATAAGACGAGGAGATTATGTTAACTTTCTCTCGAGAAGACACTATATTATCCACGTATATTACAACCTAACTATTTTTACATTTCTTGTAACCTTATTAGAAAGAAACATTGTAACTCTTTCAGCCTGATTTGTTTTTTGTTCATTCTAAGATGTTATTGCTAGTCGTAACCTTATTTATTCTCAGCATAAATAGGCGGATCCTGCAAAGTTTAACAGTCAAGAGAATTTCTTCATTCTAAGTGTAACATGCAAATTACTCGTTCTGAATTATAGAATCTTTGAACTCTTATCAACACTGAATGAATTTGCATAAGTTAACATACTAAATTAATAAAAGCTGCATTCATATGTGTAATAGGGGTCAGATAAAGCTTGCGTCAAAACACCCAGGTAAATAAATACTCTGATTAACTAACGATTACGGAATACGTTTAATACGGATTTTTGTGTAATCAGAAATCAATGCATCCAAATTTCTGCAAACATTTCTTTCCCTAGCTTCCTAATGATTACTCTTTTTCAAGATGAATCTTCAATTCCACTTCAGTTCTCCATAAACGAGTTTTTAAAACCTAATCACTTTTGAGACTATGATAGATTCCGCTGGTATTCTTCACTGGTCTTCAACTAGCAGCATACAACATGCAGAAGTTTATTATACCCTGAGAAAATGAGGTAAAAAATATTGTGGCATTACCGCTCTAGTGATTTGATGAGAAAATGATCTGCCAAAAAACTACCAAATTTCATTCATATTAGATCAGTTTCAAGTGTAGTTATACTGTTTGCAGACAGGTTTAGTAAGCTAACTGAGTTTTTTCTTGCCAAAGCCCCTTGATTTCATGCTCAGTTTGAAGCTTAACAGTGTGTCCTCATCCTTCCTTGCCAAGAATTTTAGCAGTGATTCATGCAATTTTGGTGATACTTAAGTCTTAACTAAAGCAAATTATTTGAGCCAATCATAATCTGTAAACTAATTTCCAAGCTGTTACGAATCTTAGTGTACCCACGGAAAGTGGCCTTCAGTTTATACTAATAAGGATGTATTTTCTCGAAAGGTTTCTGCACAATTCCATCGCGTAGCATGTAATGAGCTAACAGATCATTTAGATACTGATTACCTGTAAATGCACGGTGTAAAATCATTGATTTCCCTGGTTCCATTCTCCAGCTTTCATGGAAAAAATATCCATTCGATTTACACAACCCGCTCCATTCGCTCCGCCACATATGTAAATACAGTCATTGTACCAAAAAACACTTGAAGCTTCTCTTCTATCAATTTGAAAAAACAACAAGACACAAATTGTTCTACTATAAAGGTATTTTAAAATAACTTATGTTTGTTATAGGAATCGTTATACAAGGCATTTTTAAACCAGACGAACTATCCTTAGACGTTTTAGTATGAGGTTATTCAAATAAGACCCCAAATACCTCTCTTTACACATCTAACAGGAGTCTTATTTCACCCATTTGACTGGAACCAAAACCCTGTTTGGCTTTGAATACTAGAAACTGAAACCAGATTGGATGACGCGTAAATAAAGGGTTTAAGAAAGGAAATAAACGCCATTTCCAAGTGTATGACAATTACAGTCTAGTCTGAAATAATACAAACTACATTAAAACCAAAAGAGATTCAGGCAATAAGATTGCTGAGATTCGTTGTCATACCAAACTCTGGACACCTGATGAACAAAATGAACAAAATTATGATTTTCCCCAATTTGCATGATTTATACAAGAAAGAATGTAACACGTGATTTAAGAGATTTACTTCAGCCGAGGAAAGCATGACCGTAAGAGTATGGATCCTTGATTGAAATACAACAGGAATACATTGGAGGTAGACGAGTACGTTAGCACTTTAAAAGAAGAAGAAAAAGTGACTATAAATTAGCTTAAGTCACAGAGGCTTATGAAAAAGTTACACATGAGGGAAATTAAAATTATTGCAGCAACAGTTTTGTAAATAAGAGCGATAAGCACACTTTCTTGGGGATTTAACACCCCTGAAACCTCCTGCTTCAAGAACTTTTGGTGTTCATTTTGGAAATTCATCATTTTGCATCATTCTCAATCTGGCCAAGATAGAAACTCTAGCTTCTTTATTACCAAATGAAGATTTATAGTTTTTACGAACATTTCCCTTTATCAATTTTAAAAGAGTGAGGACAAACGTTATAGCAGAATAATATGAATAAATTGTATTTTTGCGTTGATTTTCGTCAACTGCTTACAACTCATAATATTTTTAGAATAACAAATTACTGACATACTTTAGTTCAGTGGATCCGGTCACAACAGGAAAACGAAATAGAGGAGAAAGGAAATTGTGCGAATTGTAGTACAGTCAAAATGATGTCTCATATATATGAATCTAATAAAAACGGAAATTCTCCTAAATTCTAGTTGGGGCTGAAAATAAATACTGTGGAATTTAGAACAAAAAATTGTAATGGTCACTGAGTATATAACTTAATATCAATAAGAAAACAGAATATAATAGAATATAATTAGTAGAACTCAGTAAATTATGATTGGGGTTTAATTTTAACTGAAATCGAGTGACAGGATAATGATGTATCCAAATAAGTGAAAGGTTTAGAAATTGAGTCATCTTTGTAACTGAAAATTGACGATATACATCTTTTGAACACAGAAGTCCGGTTTTAGGGATTTGAATGTAGTTGCTTCGGTAAAGTGAAGAAGATTTGAGTTGTTCTGTTTGTTGGTCCCTCTGAACAATTCCAAGACATCTGCTTAATGTACACCAAGTACTTAGTAATTGCACTATTCAGGATACTTGCTCCTTGCTCCTTTATGAAATATACTCACAATATAGATGCCATTCTTTCTTTTCTCCCAATATAACTGCTTCGACAGATACACGTGAACCAATACACATATTTTAAGACAGCATATGAGCAGTTTTTGGTTGTCAATAAGTTTGATCGTACTTGGTAGTTGGAGGGTGTCCAATGGGGTTTTCGGAGATAATCTAGCTCAATGATACTGCTTCCCTTCACGACAATCTTAGATGCATTTGTTTCCTATACACCCTTCATTTCACTTTTCCGACGGTTACATCACACATAACACTCTCATGTTTACTGTTCATCGGTTAAGCAATCGATTCGTCGCGTGAGGTTCAATACTCCTGGACGAATACTGGCATTGCTCGTTCGATGTCTTCCTCATCTACCATTGGATTTATTATGGTGGATTTATTAGGTATCATAACACCAGTGGCTGTTCTCACTCAGCATTAGTGCTAAGTGGGATTCTGTAGTTGAATGCACATGGACTGAAATATTCTCCAACCAATTAGTAAGTTGAAAAAGGACAATTCAGAGAAGACAATTTTCTTTTTGATGAATCTTTTTCAAAACCTTTACATCGTAATCGTAGTTCCAATATATATATATATATATATATATATATATATATATATATATATATATATATATATATATATACCCACCAATGGTAAATGGGGGGTCATCAAAAATTAGTAAGTGCGTCAACTATAATCAAACAGGATTCGCCACTAGCTTATCCAGTGAAACAAGCGTGTATCCACAGCCATAGTCATTCCAGGCATTGGTGGGAAGCTGACAGCATATGTTTCCCAGTTTGTTGATATCATATACTTGTACTAAAATAGTAGGCATAACTGCGGAAAAGTGATTTCATTCATTTAGTTCCGATGTGACGAGCATGAAAGGGACCCAGGACTTGACTCATACGTGACTTGGTAATAGTGGTTCGGTCGCCAACTATCAGGCATTTACCGTCTCCAAATACTACGGAGACTCTTCAACTAGCCTCTCACACAAAACATACTTGCAGACTAGACGAAAACTGCCAAAAGATGATTTTTATGTTCCACTGTAACAAGTTAAGTCTAGCTCATTCACGATCTTGCAAACGTTCACTGAACTGCAACTATTCCCTTCAACCTTGCACTCTCACCTACTACACATGGCATACGCACCGTTCACCTAAGTGAAATACACACGAGCATTGGTACAATACATCTTCAGTGTAACGCACTCAAAGCCAATTTCGATTTACAGACTACAGAGTCTTTTCACTGGGTATTTTTAACTTTTGTCCGCTATCTCATACTATTTGCTTAGGTATGGTAAGTAATTTTTATTTGATGCATATAATTGAGTCGAAAATTAAACGAAAACTGGGGAATTAAGAGGTTTTTCGTATCCACAAATCTTAAAGAAAGAAACTCTCTCCGTCTTTGAAAGCTTTCAACTGACTTGGAGACTTTCTGCTTACGGTGTTATCAGTAGAATGTCTATGAGCCATTTTTGTATTTGACTGAGATATCCACAATTATCATTAGAGTTTTAAGATATACAAATTTATGCAGATATGTGTAAATAACTGAATGATCTACAGGTTAAGAAACAATTGTGTTTTCCAAAGGGATTTACTACTTATTACCTTAATATTATAATGAAGTCTAGCCGGCGAAACTTTTCACCATATCTCATATATTGACTTTTAAATAAAATTTTTTGAAGTCAGATCCTGGGAAAAAAACAAACAAAGTAGTAAAAGTTTTGTGAATTGTGCCTCTGAAAAAAATTTCTCACGTCATTCCAGGCCAGATCATCATCTGATTAGATAGTCTGAGAAGATAAATTGCCATTTCTTCAAACTCAGTTTGCAGATATTAAGTGAAGTGGTACCTATCTGCTTTAATGTGACTTTATTTTTGAGCATATGATCGCTCTACATATATGTTTCTAACACGAAAAAACCGAGTAAAACGTTATCAATAAACTGTATCAGTAAAAGTTTTACCATGTAATTTCTATAACTACGATTCTTCTACAATGTTTTTCATCTTTTAGTTAGTAACTGGTCATTATATCAACATGACGAAATCTTTTGATATTTCATGGATCCTAAATGTAATTGAGATTGATGCATTACACACATTTAACAGAAGTAATGACGAGATCTTGAACTAAGACATCCTTATTTATTGAACTGAACTTGTGATATGATAGGTAATCATTGATAACTTCCCCAACTGACATTTTTCTCAGTGCCGAAGATTTATCATCAAATCAGATACTTTGGTGTATTATATCAATAAATGTTAATTTAAAGATTTCATATTTCATAATACTTCATAAAAAGTGGTACGATGAACAAAGCAACCATAAAATAAGTTTGTCAACAAATTAAAATTTCCGAATGTGTTGACATATAATCACCAATGAAGCGTTTACTGAGAATATTCCATACCTAAAGTTTAATGTTCTGTGTTTCTATAAGTACCTCAGTGACCTAAGTAATCTGTGAAGAGATATATCTCACAGCCTTACAGTCAGAAATTATTCTACTGAAATGAAACAACGATGAGTAAATTAATACTTCCCCATGTACTCTGAGAGTGGAAAAAATATGATCATAAGAACTCTGTTTTTCGTAAGATCTGAACTGCGAAGAAATTATTAGGTGTTGTTTTGCGATAGTTTTACCTGACACAGAATGCAACAAAATATCAGGATAAATGTCATGCAGATCGTTAGATGCAGGAAATATCCTGTATTTCATACACTTTTCATGCACTTTCAGTACCCCATAATATTAAAGATAGAACTGTAATGTACATCGCTAGTATCATATATATATATATATATATATATATATATATATATATTTATCAGAGCCATGGGTAAGAGATTATTTGGATAAGACGATGACAAGTTTAAATTGTCTCCATCTCAGTCTGAACCAAGCATCATTCTGCAACAGTCTGATCATCGATATACTTAAAAGACAACAGTAGTTGTAGAATCTCTACCGTTATTAGACCAAGCTCCTTAAAGTAAACGTAGCAGGAGATAATATTTTAATGTCTATGGAAGCAAACCATGAGAACCAGAGGATTATACAATTTACTGCATGACACAAACGTCACATCAATATTTGTTCTCAAGAAATCAAGTCACAAACCATGTCATCCTTAAACACGGACCTAAAATATGTCAGAGGAAGATAAATGTAGAGATTAATATTCACTAGTGTTTCAAACAAGCTCGTATAACTAACGGCAGGAGTATCGTAATTAATTTTAGTGCTTCTTGGTAGTTGATTCATATAGAATTTCAGATATTGTTACGGTATCATACAGCCACATTTTAAACATTTTGTGACACTAGGCTATTTTCTACAGAGTATTTGATTAACACTATGGGTAAGGTTATTTGATGGTCATTTTCTGGTGAATAATACGTGCAGTTTCTTAACTTCTTAACCTAATTATGAAGCATTACGTTAAACTGTAAACATTCTATCACGATGAACACCTCAGTGGGATTTCTACAAACTCTTAAATTTATATTTGGTTTCGTACAGCAGCTCTGTTTAAAAAGTCTTTGATTCCTTTCAGCCGGATGAGTATTATATATATATATATATATATATATATATATATATATATATATATATATATATATATATATATATATATATATATATATATATATATATAGCAAATAAGCTTGTTCTACAAAATAGTACTCACTTAATTTCTTTTTCTCATTTTCAGGACATCTTGGTCCTCGAGAAATTTTGAATAATTAAAGGAATTTATCGACACTTGTAATTCAGCTGATAAGCCTCAAATAGGACGAAACGTGTGTCCTGGATTACACTGGTAGCCACAACCAAGCAAATTTTTACAGTGAAAGGAATTACTTAAAAGTATGAATGGAAGTGAAAGATTGTATTGCGTGGCAGATTGACTTGTTAATCGATGAATTCAAAAGCTATGCAGAATGGGTTGCGATGACTGTAGCCAAACTTGAAGTGAATGCAACCTTTCATAAGTAAAGGTAAGTTTACTGCATTGTTAGTTTCCCAGCTGTGTATTGACCTCAGAAATAAAGGTCAGTTAAAGAAAGAGGCTCTTGGAAAATCTGTGAAGTCAGTGACATCAAATCAAAGTAAACTACCAGTCGCACACCACTTCATCAGAGTAAGCTACTGAATCCCTCACTGAGAAATTCTGATAGTTCACTTCACATTGAAGATATATGGCTGATGCTGTCTTGGAGGATAATAGAAGCTTCACGATTACATGAAATAGCTCAAACAAGACAACGCAGCCAAGATAACTCATAAATTCACTAGTATTCAGAGTACACGCTCCACGATAGTCAGTTTCTGTAGTCGATTTACAACACGTAGAAGATGATGGAAGTGGTTGTGATATAATTGTTGCTTTTCTCTCCAAGTATCCACCGGGGTTAAAAAGGCGAAGACAGTAGCTGAATCGTTAATCCCTATCGCTATTTCGCGTAAGTTTACCTCTGTTTCCATAAAGAATTAAAAATTAGATATACTATTTGGTGTTAAAGACTGTTCAGGCACGATTGATGTTCACTCACAACAAAAGGTTGAGGAATATAGTCTTACTACTCAAAACAAATTAGTAGTGTAAGATTATATCAAAATTTGCCAAGAAAGTTAACGTTCTAGAGAAAGAAAGACATCAAAGAGAACTTCACTCTTTTCACACTGTGAAAAATGTAATGGATCATAGATATTTTGAGCGAAATTCATGGCCTCATGGCAAAATAAGGTAAAATTAAATCTCAACCGTTATCAGGGAGTTCAGGTATCTTCCTGTTTTTTTCTCAAACTTTTTGAGTGACATTAACATTGTGTACTAAGCATATCATGACGAAAAAGCATGACATGCTTCTCTTCCGTCCGCCGCATTTTCTCCTCCTGTTTCAATTCAGTGGTTGATTTGTAACTGCATTACACACAACATAAGTGTCTAAACATTAATTATTCATGAATAAGAACAATACAGCGAAGAAATATTTCTTTTCAACGACTTCATTATCATGCTGTACAGTCGTATTCATAACCGGTAAAATGACAGAATATTTCATACAAACGTTGCTCAGCCAATATGTAAAATATATAATAGGTATTGGCGGGGGGATATGTTCAACTGGAAGAAATAGAAAATGGGTCACTGAATAAGAGACTAATTAATAATAAGTGGTAAGATAAGAGACAAGCGCTGTCAAAGAATGGTAAAATGATGATAATTTAAATGAAGCATGTACAACTGTACAGTTTGATAGTAAGGTAATTGAAAATAAAAAATTTTTCACTGATACGCGTCTTGTTCCTATTCATAAACACTACTTATAGATTCTTGTAATTTCCCGTTATTATTGGGGATCGAATTGATCAACCTCTGTTGGCATATCAACTCCTATGCGTATGTCTCGATGGTGACTGATTATAGTTATGCCATAACTTTCTTGGTATTGGCGATGGGTGCCATATTCTTGTTTTAGTGGGATCAAAGTCACTCACTCAGGTCCAGGTTCCTGCAAGCGACCAGTCCCTACTGGGATGAAACACACGTTCTGGATTCCTTTGCTAGCCACCCCCAAGCAAACTAAGTGTCTTATAGTTGATTTATTCTGTTCCGTATTTTAATAGATCACTAGCTTTAATGAACTGAACTGACCGAATTATCAATAAGGGCTGGTTACCACGGTGACCAGCAACTAGTAGTATTAAAGCTGTTAAGTGACTTGATTCCGGTGCAGTTACTGGATTATGACCTATATCGTTAGTCATAAGATGAAACTTTGCGTTATTCAACCACTTTGTAGTATTAACAGAATGGCCAGAAATTTTAAATATCAAATGAGAGGAGAAGTAGGCTTAAGTCTACTTAGGTTGCTTTTATTTGAATACTAATTATTTCTCATCTCCGTTCTAATGACAGAATGAAGAAATGGAAAATGCTCATAACATTTTCAGAAGTGAAGTTTAAAGAATGCCATTCCAACATATGAAGGTGGAGGTTGCTTAGCAGTTCGTGTTTATGTAGGTCCAACAAGGCTATTCAAGGGTTTTGCAACGATTTACATCGGTTTCTAATGTCATCAGTATATAAATTAAGCCAATGGTATGAAGTAATTAGTGTTATTATCTATAACTCCCACTATCGCTTGTACCAGCAAAAGTCCAAGGAAGTTACAGTTGTTGTTGAGAAAGTCTCATCACCTTAGTGTCGTACGACTGAATGGTAGTGAATAGAATGCGATATACTGAATGACATCCTTAAAGGGGCTGTGATGAAGATGAAAAATAGAAGTATCTATTCAATGTTATAAAAGTTAATCATAGTTGATCCTGGATTTGTGAAAAAAAACACAGCAAAAACAACAAGTTCTTACTGTTCTTTATAACAAAATATTCACGAATATTGAATTCAAATGGGACGAACTCGAAGAATCACTCGATAATAGGTTGCTTTAAGCACTCAGAAAGATATTCAGTACTGCTGAAATGTGAACTGTCTTCTTCTGCTTCAAGATGTGAAGCACAGAGAATGCAGGTTAAGCAACAACTCTATCCTGAAGAACTTGTCAAACTCTTGTCACATTAGTTCATCAGATTCTTCTTTCAAAACCATGTACAAACGGGGTTAAAGGAGAGCGAATTCATCGTTTTTGTGTAGCAGACACGAAGTAAATCACACAATTAACAGTTTTAGTTGTGCTTACAATGTAAAATCCCACCTCAAAATTTAATAACATTGTGTTGACTTTCTTCGTTATTCCGCTATGCAGCTTACTCCGACGGACAGATTCTTGTTTTAACTTTTGGTTTACTTTCCGACTTCTACACATGTCAGTTCTAATCTCCCGCAAACTTCTGCAGTACTCTACCCCAGTGTCTTTAAACTGAAATATCTGCACCATGATTTACTGCATGTTTTTCACCACACTTTATAATCTTACAGTCTCCTTCTAATTTTAGGAGTAATTTACTGTCTTTCCCTCAGAACATTCCTCCCAAATGATTTAATGCTGATCTACTTACTGCCTGTTAATAAACTCACTTGTGTTTGCTTTGATTAATGATCTGGCTGTACAACTGCCAAAAAGAATTCGTAGAAAAGAAAACTCCCTTCACTGAACTACTTTGTTCCAGTTCTCTCATCTTCTATGAAACACTCAGGTATTCGAAAGCATATCAGTAGGATAAAAAAACCACTATAATAACTTTCAGTATGATTTCTATGACAACAGTATTCTAAGAGCTGTACTAAAAATCGGCATGAATCTTTAATAGTCAGATTTGTAGATGGAAATTCAAAGCAGTTAGTAGCACTGTGAACCTCCCTAAAAAGTTAGAAGATATAATCAAATGGAAAGTTTCCGGCAAGAATGCCAAAAAGTAATGGTTTATATGAATATATGATGACTTAGGTTAAAAGTTATGAAAAACAATGATAAACTTGAATCAGCAACTTTCGATTGTTTTATCTGATAGTTCACTGAATAAAATGATAAAAAATTAACTACTGAACATATTAAAATGTTACTCAAATTATCCAGTGTCCTTTGTGGCTATCCTGTTTGTAAAAAAGATGCTATCATCCTGGTTTACCAACCCAGTAACCTGTCTCTGCTCATATTTACTGAACTGAACGTCTGGTGGGTAAACTATATGGGTTTTTTAATTTTTTAAAAATTCTCGATTTTTAAATGAAGTTGAGAACTTGGTCGGAAGATCAGTAGACTGGTGAATCCGAAGTCACTGTTTTCAGTTTATACATTATCTAGACTCTTAAGTTAAGGTATCTCACCACCCCCCCCCCTCCTATTTAAATTCGTCTTGAGAACCAATGTCAATTCATATTGTCTAATCAACCAAATATTTACTTTGATTCTTGCCACCAATAAGCTCGCTTTACACAGGGAAAATTAATGCAGCAAAACCACATTAACTATTTTTACTTAAGGGACTTCCATAAACTACGGACAAAGCGAACAACAGCAAGATGTACAAATCACGAAAAAATCACACAGTTCTATCAAGTTGATAGAAAATTGTTGACCCAAATAGTAAATCAAATGAACTCAGCGTAATACGAATCACTCAGGGTAGAGAAAATTGTCGATAGTATTCAAAGATATATTTTCATACGATGATCAGGTGGATATATTTTTCAAACTTTTCTAGATTGAAAACCAATTCAGCTGTCGAATTGTACTCATTATCTGTTTCCTAAGCTACTGAAATTTACTAGCTAACTATCTGCATAACAGTAACATGTTGAAAGTTAGTTTTAACACTTACACTTCCTCCATTTTCACTAGTGGTTGCCAAATCCCGTATCTAGTATCATACAGTTCAATAGTTTGGTCATTGACGCCACCGACAACTGCTATCCCTTCTTTTGTAGAGCAGATACCGAAACCAAATCGTGGTCTTAACATTGGTGACAATGGATGCCACTTCTCAATTCGTGGGTCTAACATTTCTACAGACGATAATGCTGATCCTGTTGAAAAGGTATTCAGCGTATAAAAATAATCGTTTAAATGGATTATATTTAAATAGAAATTATTAACCTTTAAGATATTCCATTTTGATATGACTATATCAGAGGGACAGACGCACTCACGTCACAGTGATTTCAGCGATGATGAATCAGGAAATTAACTGAAGTGGTAATTGAGTTTCATTCTTTATCTGGTCTCGTTGGCTGGCTAGTAACTAAACTAGAGTTTTCTCATTTTTATTCATCTCCAAGTACTTCATTTTATTTCGGATAATATGATTTTTGATTGTCAAAGTGTTTCGCGAAACATACTAGGTGGACTTTTATTAACCCTGATAAAATGATGCGTAATCCAAACGCGCTCTTTTATCTACTATACGTTTTTGCTGAACTTTAGATATTCTTTGATAGTCAGAAAGTCAGGTATGCATACATCAAAAGTAATATGGAGATATGAATTACTCCAATATATATCAACAAAAGTACTTCCTACTGTCAGGTCAGTCCAGCATATTTGACGAAACCTACACATTCCAAACTCATCATAAAACACTATCTCGTTTGTTCGTCAAAGGTAGAGTGTAAAATCAATTATGCCATTAATATCCGACCACCTAACTCCTTCACAGTCACTTCTGAAAATAACCTACGATGTCAACTCAAGTGGTTTCAAAGAACTGCAGCTACATAACTTATGCATAACCCAGACATTGGTAGTTCGGTACTTCAGGCTTGAAACTCGCATATGTATGTGTATGCTTCAAGCCTGGAAACAAGGGACACCTAGATTCAAAAGAGTTTTTATCAAGAATTTAGATCAAATAAGTAGGCATCAGAACAAACTAAGAAGTACTTTAAAGTAGTTAAAGTTTACTGAGGGACTGTTCAACAGTGTATACTTACATACAAACTAGGACGAAACAGCTGTTCAGTTTACATGAAAAGGCCAATAGTTCTTTGGTTGACTTATATCAGTAAAGTTTCTTCGAAATCAACCTTCCTTTAACAAAACTTCAAAGTTAATTCCTGTCTTGTCATACCCTTTCTTCCCCTTATTTAATTTTTACCAACTCATCTGTTATAACTTGATATTTCTCCGTCTAGAACCTCGTTTCTTTTTCAAGTGCTACGTTAATAATACAACCTCAACTCAGTATTCAATAAACACTATTAGCTGTTTAGAAGAGCTATGAATGATATGACAGAAAGGAAACTCTTCTTTGCTGAAGTCTCTTCTGCATAATTGAAGACATTTCTTCCGACGGTCCACTTCCCTAAGAAGAATACGAAAACAGTGTGGTTAGATCAGTATGCAAATGAAACAGAAAGAGATACATAAATGATATCTCATTTTCTTGAACTGTTTTGAATCTTTCTCAGTAATCAAAGCGTTCTTCAATGGTATTGATGTACCTTAATCCGAAGATAATGGGCACTTCAGTATGTGATGTCGTCCCTCCACAGGTCTTGAAGCTGTTAGGATTAACTTTTTATGAGTAAAACAATCGTTTCTTAGAAGAGTAAAAAATCTTAAGAAAGGCGTTTTTTTTACTGACAGTTTACTGTACTGTTATGACATAAACTCACAGTGTTTGGAAAAATTTTCCACATGGAGTGGTAACTATATGTATGCTTCATTTTGCAGATCAACGATCAGGAAAAGTGCTCCATTAAAATTTCCGTAATTACGGGATTTTATGATTAAAATGTCTGAGGAATTTGAGGATAGGTTTGAATAGTTGAAGTGTTATTTATTGAAATAGTGTCCATTACAAAATATTAAGTCCAAAATACATAAAAATTGAAACAAGATTCAAGAAAGCTATGTAGTAAACAACTAACGAAAGTTGAGTTATCTGTCTAACTTATTCTAGTCGCGAAGAAAGAGAGAACAAGAGTCTCACTACCTGCTATACACAAATTTACACTTAGGATTTTGACTTCATAACATTAATGATGGACTGATAGCACACTATTTTTTATCTTGTTGACATTATCCACTGGGTGAGTACAAATGGTTACTGGTTTTATTTACCCTTTTTCAGCCTTGTTAAATCTTAAGGTTTACATGTATAAGGTTTCTCATTGATAGCTAACGCTATAGTTAGTCCAATTTGAAAAGGAAAACGATGAGAACCTGCAAAGTCTGAATCATTAGACGTATGACGAAGTCCAACAACTTCTGCACCTTTTACCTAGGGGTCTATGATAAAGTAAGGAGACGTAAGTTCTTTGCACTAATAAAAATAATCGAGCTAACCATTTATCAAGTCAAACATATCAGTAAAATTCCTAGAAAGTCTGTCCTATCTGAGCACGCAAGCATGCTAAATCTTGTCACACGTACATTTACTAGAACATTGGTTTATTCACTTAGCTAGAGTCTTTTCGCTGTTTAAACTTTAAAAATGAGTTCATGAATGCCTACCTTCCTCTCCGACACCTCCAACGGCGTATATTAATCCATCAAGCTCAGCTAGACCATACCAACTTCGTCCAGTATTTAATTTTGGTCCTGGTAACCACATACCATTCGACATGTCATAAATTTCACCTGTTTGCAGTGAACATTTTGGTCTCCCACCAAAAAGGTATATTTTATCCTCCAAACTGACAGCTCCAAAACCTTTCCTTATCGAAGGCATTTGCTGTAAATTCGGTATGACAACTGGTTTCAGATAAGGGAAGGAAAATGATTGTCTGGATATATCATCTGGATAGATGTCTTCACAGTCAGTAATTTGTGGTTCATCAAGAGAAAAACTGCTAACCGATGATTTCAATTCATTTATTTCATAACATGTGATATTTGTTGAGAATTGTTTGTCAGACAGTCGGCCTCCAAAACATACTAATGTTGTATTATACACCTAAAAGTAGAGAAAATATTGAGACAACCTGATAACTTTAGCTTTTCTGGCGAAGTAATAAGTTAGTACCTTCTAATCATTGCTTTCGTTGCTAACTGATGTCAAACCACTAAAACTAGTCTGTTTCGATGTGGTAACAACCCGTTTTCAAACTATACCTGTTTTCCAATTTGAAAATAAACTTCTTAAATGGTGGATACCAGGGAGATGAAACCAGTTATTATGACGCAGAGACAAGTAGAATTTATCTTCTATTGAATTTAGCATCGAATAACAATACATCAAAATGCTGAGTGCTGCTGAATTATGAAAAAGTGCAAGATAATTTTTCAAAAGTATTTCGCATTTCTGGTCATATGTTTTTGATTCGAAACCAGTGGCTGAACGAACTCAAGTTTATAAGTGTTTGAGATCAGTTGGTTTAGTAAATATTATTGCATGAACTCAAAGCTGCTTTTCTCAGTTTATCAGAGCTTCAATTTTTGCAAAACCAGGCTAATTTCGGTTCACCAAACAGATAATTTAGTTAAATTTTGAAGGGGTTGTGGAGATTTGGAAATGTTTCAAGTTGTTATTCATCGAAGACTGACATCAGTTGGAGGAACAAAGGAAACCTGGGAGCACTGGACAGCTGCTTCGTCCTAGTATGGGACTCCTCAGCAGTGCGCACCCACGACCCCACCAGCGGGGATCGAACCCGCGACCTTCAGGTTCCGCGACCAGCGCGTTACCATTGAGCCACTGGGTCAGAATCCAATGCTCCATATTTCCAACTTCTGTTAGCTCACGATATAGCGCGAACCGCCGCCTAATGTCATCGTTGAGTATTTGTCCTCACGGCCATCAGGCTTGACTCCACCGGTCACGACTTGTCATTGGAACTTCGGGAATACTTCTCGAAGCTAGTCACCAACGAGCACTAGTTCAATTAAATTTTGAAGGGGTTGTGGAGATTTGGAAATGTTTCAAGTTGTTATTCATCGAAGACTGACATCAGTTGGAGGAACAAAGGAAACCTGGTGGGGTCGTGGGTGCGCACTGCTGAGGAGTCCCATACTAGGACGAAACAGCTGTCCAGTGCTCCCAGGTTTCCTTTGTTCCTCCAACTGATGTCAGTCTTCGATGAATAACAACTTGAGATAATTTAGTGTTCCTTATTCTGGACGACATCATGTAGTTCTTTAAATATGTAAGTTCCTCCATGCTCCATTTTAATATCAGGTTATTTTTCTCAACTGCTCAAAAATAAATATTTTCTTTATCTTAGTTTACTTGGAAGTAGTCTGCACTAGAATCCAAGAAAAGCGTTTCGTCCCTTTAGGGACTCGTCAGCTTGATGTACCCATTTCCCACTGTTCCAATCAAGACTCGAATCCATTTCCTTTTGCTTCAAACTTCAAAGCATTATATGCCAATGGACGCCAAACAATTAGACACAGTATAATAACAGTGAATTACAAGTGTCAGTAAGAAACAGTTGATATCCATTGCACAATGAAGTGGCTTTCTTGCCTCAGTAGCCTAGAGGTTAACACTTCGGCGTTTGAAACGACAAGTGCCTATTCAGAGTTGCGGAGAAAACACTATCACTCAGCGGGGTGCAGATACATCCACTGATTAGTCATAAATAGGATGAAACAAGTATCCTGGATTTCAGTGCTAGACACCACTAGGTAAAATACAACATAATGAATATACAGGCAGTATCGAGGCATCCTCATAGAAGTCCATCTGCCAACAGAGATCGAGCAGTCCTACCAGGTATAGCAACGGGAAATTGTAAATATCAATAAGTAAATATTTACTGTTTGTAAAGAGTAATTTAGGTATGGGAGCGAAGAAGCCAGTCGGCAGATTAACTTAAAGTCAGAGTTTTCTATACCTCTTATTTCCTTGATCTCCTGGCCAATAGACTTCTGAGTAAATTAGAATGCAGTCGACAAGTCTCCGCTATCTAATGAACAAAACATCCATTCAATTAGGAGATCCTTGGGGATTTATTGATTTGAAGCTGGTACTCACTATAGACTGACATCAGTCGGAGAAACACTAAAAAATTGAAAGCATTGAAATTAGTTTCGTCCTAGCATAGGACACCTCAAAAATGCGCGCCCGTGTCATCACCCCACCAGCGAACAAATCCAGGACATTCAGGTTCCGTTGTCAGCACGTTACCATTTAGCGGCTGGATAGAAATCTAATGCCTCATGCTGTCTCCTTCCTCAGTTCAAGATTTAGCGCGACAGATACCCAAGGTCATCACTGAGTATTTTTCCTGAACTTCCGAAGAGTTCCATAAGGCGACAAACCAGATAATCAGTGCTATAAAGTTCTCAATTTTATTTCAACTGATGTCAGCCAGCGTTGAATTGATATTTATTTAATATTCATTTGCCCCTTGGATTCCTAATGAAACATAGAGCTTCAGTAGCACGTCTCCAGTACACTCTGTTCTCTGAAATCTTTTGTACCTGGCTTAACGACTGCTCACAAGCTCTCATTTCTTCCTCACATGATATCCTCCATGTCACCCTCAGATACTCAACTCGTCGTTTCCCATCTGGGTTCCATTCGACGGCCTGGTGCATGATGTCCCCGAATTATCTTCTCAGTGCATGCCCAATCCATCTCCACTACCTTCTGCACATTTGTTGAGTGGCAACTACTTGGTTGGTTCGCTGCCAGTAACAGTTCCTTGTCGCTTATTCTTTGTCGCCATCTGATCTTCAGTAACGAGTGTAGGCAATTGTTCGTCTAGTTTCTAGATTCTTAGATATCCCTCACATAACGCGCCAAGTATCTGAGCCATACAAAAGCACTGACTTGACTGATCTTAGTGTTGAAAATCCGAATCTCGTTCACGCTTTTTGCTGAGTGCATTGCAGTGCTGTAGATCTCCACACTGATTTCAGGCTAATACAGAAAGGCTTGTCTTGCTATCTTTCCGATCCTGGCTGGCTTCGACATCCTCATCTTTGCCGCTACCACCAGTAGTTGAAACGTTACTGCCTAGGTAGGTAGGTAGGTGAAAAAGACCACTTCCTTTAGATTTGTCATGTTGATGGTGATTGGAGCTTGTTGTTGTTGATGCTGGTGGTGTTGGTTGGGTATCTTCATCACCTCCGTCTTCTCCACGTTCACTTGGAGTCCCGTTTCCAGTGTCTCTTCTGTCAACTTGTTTGTTGGCTTTTGCCTGTAGATCTTCGGGTTTGTGCCACAAGACATTAGACATAAATCATCATCGGCGGCTAAATACAAATCTTCTAGGGTATTTTCATCAGTCCAGCCAGTGTATGCCTCCCTTCTCGCTCCTCACATTTCCTTGCATGATTCAGTTCAGTCGACCACGATCAGGAAGATCATCGGTGATAGTGGGCTTATCGAAGTGGTCAGCCTATCCTTTCCTTTGTTCCTCCTCTCTGGTAACTAGGTTCCCTTCATCATCTTTCATCTGTTTCATCTGTGTTGATCTCTTCCCGGATAGTAACCTGGTTATTTGATACAATGATGTCAGGTCTCTGTCTCTTCTACCTGCAGCCTGTTCTGCTTCACTCGCCAATATGTCTTAGAAGTGTCTTTTGTCTTTGTGCCTACTCTTCTTCACTTCTTTGTCCAGTGTAGTGTTTTTTATAGGTTGTGCTCACTCCGGCTTTTCGTTGTGCATCCATGCACTGGTTCGTCTTCTGTTTCACCATCTTCCTGTCCCTGCTCTATCAGCTTCTATGTGCCCGTCGAGATCCATTCCTTGTCTTCTTTCCTATTCCTTCCTAATACGGTTAGGAAGGCAAGTTTCCTTCCATGTCTCTTTCACCCAGTCCCAGTGTCCTTTCACGCAGGTTCCCTCAGAATGTTGCTCAATATCTCCAATTTTGTCGTGATGGCTGGCATGAATATGTCCTTTGTAGTTTTGTCCTTCAATTGCTGGCTGTTGAACTTGAAGTGTGGTCTATCACCAACCACTCTGAAAGCTTCCAACTTGATTTGGAAGGTTCCTTGCACCAGATGGTGAGTGGGCTGCATCTACATCTCCTCCTCTTCTTGATCTTGTGTCCGGTAGGCTGTGTCTCCACTTCCTTCACATTGAGATGAAGTCGATCTGATTTTTAGTGTAGTGTGTCCATTTGGTGAAGTCCACGTGGCTTTGTGAATGTCCCTGTGTTTGTACAAACTGTCTCGCCTCCAATCACCAAATCATTGAATGCGCAGAAATCTGCAAACAGTTCTACGTTCTCATTCATTTCACCGAGCACATCTCTACCCATGATAAGTTCTCTTCCTGTATTGTCTGCTCCCAGTTTGGTATTCATGTCACCCCACGTATTAGGATGGATTTGATGTCGCCAACTGAGATGGGTTCTTGTCCAGTGTTGATTGCAGTTGTCTATGGAATTCCTCCTTCTTCTCTTCATCTGCATTATTTGTAGGTGCATAGCATAGCGTAGCGTAGCGTAGCATTGCATGGCTGTAATTTTCCTTCCTTTTGAGTTGAATCTTGTTGTCATGATCTTGATCCTGCAGGAGGAGATTGGTTCCCACTGCATGAGAGAGAGAGAGCCTTCGATGCTGTTGGAGACACTATGATAGCCACTCCGAGACTCAGTGTGCTTGTTGTTGTCGTCTGGGTGAGAATATCGGAGTAGATTATCGACTGTGCAGTTGACAGTTTGGAGAGTCGACTTCCATTCCATCTGCTTTCGCAGATTCCAAGCACTTCTTGCCATGCCTTCTCATCTTCTTTTCAATCTGGGCAGCCTTGGTAGGTTCGAACATGGTGTGGATATTCCATGTCCCTATCCTTACTTTCTCTTCGATCGAGAGAAGTGAAGACACATCTGCCGACTGGCTTCTCGAAGGCTCTCACCAACCAGCGTCATTTCGCCTCTCCGATTCCAGAGAGGAATAAGTTTGTTTTTGTTTTTTATATTTTGGTTGTGCTTTGAAGTTTCTTTAGGGATTGTATTGGTTTTACGGTGTAGGGTTGCTAGCCCTATACCGAATCC